CTAGTAAGTCTGTGCCAGTGGGATGAAGGATCTGTGCTAGCAGGCTGAGGGATCTACACTGGAGCCAGGAAGCGATGTGCAAAGTAAAAACCAGAGCTCCCCTGAAAAGTACCACAGCCATCCTCAGCAATAAGGTCCCGAGCTCCTCCAATGATCAAGAAAGCCGAGTTCCCATCAGGAAAGCCAATGGGACAAGCTTCTCCAGGAGACTGGCAGTGCACCATCTTCCCCCCCCAGAGCCAGGAAGCGATGCTCAGAGTGAGGACCAGAGCTCCCCCAAAGTGAACTGAAGCCATTCTCAGTGCCAACAAGGTCCCAAGCTCCTCAGAGGATGAAAACAGCCAAGTTCATCAGGAAAGCCAGAATGATGAGAGCTCCTTACAGCTTCTACCAGCTCCCAACAGCTTCTCTTCTTCTTCTCCAGTTCTGCATCTTATCGGGCTGGTAATAATCCTCAGGTGGGCCCCTCACACCCAGCACCACGCTTACTCAGTGCAGCTGAATGTTATAAGTTGACCACCAGTTGTCAATCCACTACAAGACCCACATTCAGTCCTGACTGAGGCCTTCTGGTGTCAATAGTTGTAGGAGGTTTGAAAGAAGAACATGTTCTTCCCCTTACTGGCACTGGCCTGAAGTCACGCCTAGGATTTCCATTTGCCTTACCTTGCTCAAAACTGGTTATGGGGTCACATTTAGTTCTAGGAACACTGAGACATATCATCTTTTATTTTTGGATACTTGTGCCATGGAAAAATTCGAGTGCATTTTTTAAAGAAGGGGCGAATAGATACTGGTGGATAAGTAGCTGTTTTTTCTGTTCTTGTAGGCCTGTTGTTGTACGTATGTCTCTTCACCACTCTGACCCCTTATTGGGTGCTTTCTTGTATTTCAATATAGCTCCAAAATACATGACATTCCGAAAGCAGCTGGGACTTCTGTGTCTTTCATAAATGACCTCAGTAATCACCAGCACTTGACTGACATGTGTCAGTGACAGGAAACAGAAAAGGACAAAGACAGAGAACTTCACAAACAAGTTTCTCTGACTATATGTCTGTGTGATGGAGAAGCATTTATGAAGCCTGTGCCGCAGGCTTTCATCCTGAAAAGCTGGCAAAGGATTAGAAGATGTAACCTCTTGTGTGCATAGAGGGATTAAATAGTGTAGATGCAAACTGATAAGAATGAATCCACGTGCACAAATAATGCCTTTTTAATTTCTCTTTAAACACTAATGAAATATAAATGGAGAAAACTGATTTGGGGTAATTTCTCCAGTTTTCTACGGGATGGAAGGGATGCGTCGTGACTTTGTCAATGTCTTTTCTAGCCAATTCCCATTGAAGATATTATTTAAAGATGACAATCATACCACAGAAGGATGGAGCCTCTGATAGGATTCCTGGAAGGGGCAGAGGCTGGGCAGACATGTCATTTCAGATTTCAGAATCTTAAATGGAGCTGGAGCTTAAGCTGAAGATCTCTATCTTTTTACACCTCCGGTCCTGAAAACTGGGACTTCTGAAGGTCGCTCAGGTGGCTGGTGTCACTGCAGGTCTTCTGCTCATTTTCTAGTTCACGCTCTTTCCCCTCCACAGGTTCTGCAGAGGGAGCACTTAAAGAGGGGCTGCTTGAGGACAGTCCTTGGGTTCCAAATTCACTCTACAAAGAAGGCTGCTCTGTGTGAGGATTTGGTTCCCATTCCCCCTGATTCTGTCATCTTTACAATCATTCTACAAGGAAGATTTTCTCCAGTCCCAGAGAAGTGGCAACCGAGGCAGCGGAAAGTAACTTGCCCTTTGTCCCACGGTCAGGAGATGGCAGGTCTGGCGTTTGAGTCCAGGGCAGCCTATTCCTTTGTGTACATGACACCCTTTTTAACCATGTAGGGGGCAAATGAGGTAGGATCAGTGAGACAACAGAAATACATTTAGCTCCAGGTGGTCTAAGAAATGTCGGGACTGGGGAAGCAACATGCACGAGCACACTTTTACACTGCCGTTTGTGGCAGGAACTTTGCAGTTAAACTGTGGTGGAGGTGGTCAGGTTTAATCACTGAATGAGCATTGTAGCTAAGGGCTGCAGCCAGAGATTTAACGGAAGAGTTATGGAGATTTAATCTGGTTTTTGGTTTAAATGGTGTAAGTTCTGTATCTCAGTGTGGGGAGGAAGGCACGTAATTCTGGCATCTGTGGCAGGAAGACTGTCAAATGCCAGCCCATAGAGCAGTTTAGTTACTCAGTGGGAATTTATCTCAAAACAAAACAAAACAAAACAACCGGGGAAGTGAGGAGGCTGGGGATGTAGCTCAGTGAGAAGATCCTGGGTTTAATTCTCGGTCGCGGACCAGGGATAGTTTAACTTTTCTTTTGTTAAGCGGTGCGAGTTTATCACTCCAATTGGCAGCGATGTGGCCCAGGGAATGTGAGGCAGTCTGGGACGCAATCATCAGGGTTATCCCGCCCAGTACAGTACCACCCCCTAACGTACCAAGCTGACCACGTGATTTCAAGTCCACTGCGTGGATACCGGATGTGGGATTGTCACGAGGCCGCAGTCGCCCACTCAGAGCCCAGCTCACCCTGGGGCTGCCCCTTCCTGTTCCTGCCGCCCGCAGACCAGTCTGGTCCGGTCTGAAGAGCGTACCAAGGGAGAGCCGCTTCTGCCTTGTCGTCGTTGAGCGCTCTGAGATTTAGCAAGCGCAGATGCTGTCCTAGGGAGACCTGGTGCCAGCGCCTCCGATCTCAGCGCGCACTCGTTTCCCTGCCCACTCTGTGTCCGCGTGGCCGCGCGGGTCTCAGCAGCTTCTGGGCTTGGCGAGTCTGGGGGAACCCGCGTGGATGCGGGCATGGCCGAGAGGTCTGCAGCCCGCCTGGGGGCAGTGGCGCTGCTGCTCCTGTGCTGGGCGCCGGCGACCACAGGTAGGATCGCGGATGGGGACGAGGGAACCGGCACGCGCCTGCTTCCTGGGGGTCCGCTGCTGGCGCCCTATGCAGCCCTTCCATGAAGCGGCGGGGCTCCGAGCTGTCTGATGAAATGCACCCTCACTGATTGCACAGATTGAGGGCTGGGCTTGCGGCTCAGTTGCAGGGCACTTTGTCTAGCGCGGGGAGGCTCTGGATTCATCCTGGTTGGAGGCTGGGGTGGGAGTGGGGAGTGGGGTCCGGCCCTGCTCTCTCTCCCGCTGAGAGGAGAAATTCAGTAAGATCAGTGAGACAACAGAAATCCGCTGAGCTCCAGCAGGGCCAAGAAATGTTGAGCGTGGGAAGCAACACGCATTCACACACATTTACACTGCCATTTGTGATCATGGACTTTGTCGTTAAAATTGGTTTTAAAAATGTGGAGGGGGGCAAATTTAATCACTGGTGAGCATTTTAAACTGTTTCAAGGATGTCACAGTGCACTTTCTTTTGAGGAACTTTGTGGTCTGCACCAGATGTTTAGAAGTGTTTTTGTTTGTTTTTAGGTAAGCTCCCTGCGGCGTGGGGTGCACATGTGGCAAGGGTAGTAATGCTGCAGAATTCAAGAGACCGGAGAGACTGCAAGAGTTTTAAGAGGATTTATTAGGTGTACACCTGGCTCAGCAGACTTCTGTCCAAAAGGGCAGAAGGAGCAAAGGAAGGGCCCCAGTTTTATACATGTTGTGAAAGGGATTGGTCTTTGGCACTGACCAAAAGCAGTTTGTCAAGCTGTGACAGTTTTTGAAACTTAGCATATCTTGGTGGCCCAGCTGGGGTATAATGGGATGCTATGGGAAAAGGAGGTTATACAGCTTTTACTTACAGGAACAAAAGCTGCTGTTTTGATCTGTAGTAAAACAAAGAACAGTAGCTGTAGAGAAGGGAAGTGTCTTGGTTTCTTTTCTCTTGTTGCTGAGACAAAACACCTGACACCCAAATTAAAGAGGGAAAGGTTTATTTAGTTCATAGTTTGTGGAGGTTTCAGTCCATACTTGCTCCAAGGCAAGGTGGCACATGGCAGAGGGCAACAGTTCATGGTGCTGGAAAACAGCAAAAGCAGCAAGGGCAAAAAGGAGTGACAAGAGCAAGCCTCTTTCCCTCCCTTATATTGTATGCAGGCTGCCAGCAAGGGTGGGGTGGAGGGGCTGTAGCACTCACACCTATAATCCCAGCATGGGACCATGAATCAATCATAAACTCTAGAAACCTGCCCCAGGACTGCATGAAGCTTTGGGGGTACATACAGACACAAACTATAACAGGAATGTTGGGGAACTCAACTTTTTCTTTTTCTTTTTCTTTTTAAGTCCTGCTCCGGTGAAAGGGATTTTCCCAAATGTAGAAATGTAGTAAAGACAAGCATTTTTTTTTTCTGGTGTGAATAGGCTGTGGTTTCCAGGAAAGCAATCAGGGTGGGAGTTTGGGGTTTTCATAAAAGTTTGAGGATACAGAAAAAGGACCAGGAAACACTGGTGATTGGGTAAAGAATGTTTTTGCCTGGAGCACTTAGCTTGTGCATCCTGGGGTAGGGGAGGCCTCCCAACCACCCCTTTCCCAGCCACTGCTACTGACCCCATCCCCATGCCCCGTGTCAGTCCCCACCCTCTGTGCCCAGCTTTTCCACATTCCTGCCTCCACTCACCATCTTCCCTCATGCCCTAACCCTCACCTCCCACCTGCCCCAACCTCCTCCCCGACTTCCTGCTCAGCCCACTCCCACCCACCGTTAGCCTGGATAAACTAAGAATATGCAAGCTGAAGCAGGAGGATTGCCTTGAGTTCAAGGCCAGCCTGAGCTACAGAGTGAAGAAGAAGGAGAAGGAGAAGGAGAAGGAGGAGGGAAGAGGGAAGAGGGAAGAGGGAAGGAAGAAGGAAGAGGGGGAAGGGAGGAGGAGGAGGAGAAGAAGAAGAAGGGAAGAAGAGAAGAGAAGAAGAAGAAGGGGGAGGGGGAGAGGGGGAGGAGGAGGAGGAGAAGAAGAAGAAGAAAGAAGGGGAAGGGGAGAGGAAGAGGGAGAAGAAGAAGAAGGAAGAAGGGGAGGGGGAGGGGAAGGGGAAGGAGAAGAAAAGAAAAAACAAAGATGCAGATTCTGGCCCAGGAGGTCATGGCCAGAAGGGATGAAGCAAGCCTGGGGTCTCCTCTTGCCTTATTGAACCCCTCTCCCCTCTATCCCTTACTATAAAAACCCTTTACACCAGGACACAATGAGATGGTGATTTGAAGCAAAGGAGTCCCCTTCCTCTCCTCTGAGCAAGATTTAAGTAGACCTTTCTTCCCCCACCAAAATAAGTGGCCTTAGGTTTGGTCAGCAGCGGGGAGACCTGAGCATAGGGACCTACACGGCTGAAACAGGCAGGGATGCCACATTTTCCCACAGGAAGCTCAAAGGCTGAAGTACATGCAAAGGGATGTTTGAACTCACCATTTAATAACTAGAAGGCTAGAAATTAAATCAACAATGAGAAATTCTTTAACACTTATTAGACAGGCCCAAATAGGCTTCTGATGGAGTTGATAGCTTGTGGGGGGAGTAGGGGAGGGGGGGTGAGACTCCAGGAAGCCATGTGGGTGCCAGTGTGTGGGGTGCTGGGAGCCAGATGTGGATGCTCACCTTGGAGAAGCTGCTGGCAATGGGCCAGCTGTCTGCACAGCCATGTGGAAGGATCTGAAAGCATAGTGCCAAGAAGGGAAATAATGTGACCTGTCTACCATCTCTCCAAAGCCACATGTGTACTGTATGCATACATATATGCCATTTCCATAAACGTGGGAAGCAAAACATGGCAGTGTTACAGAAGACAAATTTGTAGACGTTAAAGGACTTAGACTGGCCACCTGATGGGGGAAGACAATGGGAATAAAAAAAGATGAGTGGTATTTCTATACATTTATAGTAAACAATCTGAAAATAAAGTTGAGCAAAATTCCCTTATAGTAACTTCAAAAAGAATAAATTGTTTATGAACAAATTTAACAAAAGAAACAGAGAACATGTATAGTTATGCAACTCATAAGGATGTTTTGGTCAGTGATGAGTTGCATATAAGATTGTGCCCCATAAGATTATAATAGAAGGGGCTGGGGATTTAGCTCAGCGGCCCAGCGCCTGTCTGGCAAGCGCGAGGTTGTGAGTTCGATTCCCGGTACTGGAAAAAAACCAAAAAAAAAAAAAAATTAGTAAAAAGATTATAATAGAGATTGCTGGGTACTGGTTCTCCCTGTCATTCCAGCACTAAGGGTGCTGAGGCAGGAGGATTGATGTGAGTCTGGGGACTACACAGTGAGTTCATGGCCAGCCTGAACACACACACAAAAGATTCCCTTTACCTGGTGACAAAGTTGCTGTAAACTTGTAATGCAGCACACTTTCGTGTGTTTGTGCTTGTATGGCTATAAACAAAACTACTGTGCAGCTATCTGTGTGAAAGTACAGCACGTGCAATTATGTATAGATGTAACAGTGAGAATGACACTGATTTATGAATTTTCTATTGTATGCTTTTTATATCGTTTCAGAATACACTTTTTGTACATTATTTTTTAAAAAGATGTCCCATAAAAAGTGATGCAGGAAGTAGCTTTGTGAGCTTGTGTCCCATGTCTCTAGATCTCATTAAGAAGCCACAGTGAGTGGTTGATTCACCCATTCAGGTTTGTGTGAAGTTCACTCAGTGATGCTCACTCAGTGAGGAAACTGGCTCATGACAGTTCTCGTGTCCCTGTGGGTTAGGGACCCATGACGGTGCCCTGCAACCTATAAAACAGTGTCCAAGGAAATTTAAGAAGATCTAAATAAATGCATAGAAAATTCATCCTCTCTTCCTTCTGTCAGGCTGGCATAGCAAATGCCACAGATTGGGTAGCTTCAGTGGATTTGTTTCTCACCATTGAGGAGGGTTGGACACCTGAGAGGTCCTGGCTGATGGAGTCTCTGATGAGGGCCCCATTCCTGGTTTGCAGGACGCCTCTTGCTGTGTCTTTACAGGGCAGAATGCGAGACTTTCTACCTCTCCTGTCATAAGGGCACTAATCCCTTTCAGCAGGCTTTACCCTTAGTCCTAATCACTTCCCAGAGGCCCTGCTCCAAACACCATCACATTGGGAAGTAGGGCTCAATAGATACATTTTGGGAGGACAAAATCATTGAGTCCATAACGCATGCCACAAACACGTTCATGGGTGAAATTGGTGACATCGTGAAGATGGCAGTATCCCAAATGAATCAACAGATTCCGTGCCATTCCTATCAGACTCTCAGCTGGTCACCTAGTAGAAATTGATAAGCTGATTCTGAAATTCAAGTGGCATTGCAAAGGACCACAACAGCCAAAATAATCTTGAAAAAAGAACAAAGAGGGATCTTGGTGGATGAAGGAGGGCCGTGATATGACAGCCTGTGTCCTGAGTCCTCTCACACTTACCCCAAAAGGAATTTATTACGTGGTCGTGTTTGAGACACCAAGGATCCCCATAACCGAGTGTGTTACTGTTACAGGTTTCATGCAAGTGGTGGTGCAAGGAGGGATGCAGACAGTATGCCTGAATGACAATGTCACCATCTCCTGCGAAGTTCCTGGCTTCCCAATGCTGGACCCCAGTTCTGTGGGCATTAGGTGGTATCAGAAGGATCCAGCATCTGAAGCAGAGAACAAGGTGCTGGAGTTATATGGTGATAGTACAAACATTATGCGAACTGGGGCCAAGGTGTCTCCAGAAAGGCTGCAGTGGGGCGACGCCTCACTGCAACTGCCTGGGGTCCAGCTGCAGGATGCAGGAAAGTACCTGTGCCAGGTGGTGGTCCCCCCTCAGTTGGCAGAAGCAACAGTCTCACTGGAAGTTCTGGATGAGTACCTGAGGGCAGTGCCCTGCAGTTGCCATGGTGCTAGGTCCTGGTATGGGGATGCACTTGAGGGCCCCATGGGACAGAGGGTTAGTGTGTGGGTCTGTCCCAGTCATGGGCTCCCATACTGGACATCTGTAAACACTTGGACACCTGAGCAAGTCATTAGTCTCTCTAAAGTGCAGTGCCCTTTACAGTGTCTACCTAAGAAGGTCTTAGGGAGGATTCTATGAAAAATGCAGGTGAAATACTTAGCACAGTCCCTTAAGTGACTGGCGTGGCAGCTGCATAATTCACCTCTTGTGTGAACAGTCATTCTCATAAAGAATACCCGTGATAGGTACTGGGAAGGGAGAGAGGAACTGGGTTCTGGCTGGACAGATTTGAATCTTATTCCAGCTTTTTACTTCCAAGCAAGAGCCAGTCACTGAACATCATTGAACCTGAGTTTTCTCATGTACAAAATGGGCTGATAACTCCTACCTGCCTCATAATAAGATGTGTAAATCCACATGTAGTGGCACATGCCTTTAATTCCAGCTACTTAGGAGGCTGAGGCAGGAGGATTCCAAGTTTGAGGGCCACCTGGCCAACTTAGTTAGACCCTCTTTTGAAATAAAGTGAAAAAAGTATGCTGCAGATCTAGATCTCAGTGGTAGAGTCTTTCCTTGGCATGTGTGAGCCTGTGAGTTCATTCTGTAGTACTGGGAGGAGAAAAGTGTGACAGTGTCAGGCTGATCACCTGTTGTAAGGTAGGTGGGTTCCCAGTCAAGACTTAGATCAGTCCCCGAATACTTCTTTGGGCTCCTCTTTCCTCTGTTATAACAGAGTCTGATAAAGTGCGATTAACTTTGTGGCTGTATTAGTCTGCCATGGCTGCTGTGACAAAGTACCACAGACTGGGTGGCTTCACAATGGATGTTTATTTTCTTAAACTTCTAGAGAGTAGAAGTCAGAGATCAGTGAGTCAGTGGGGCTCATTTCTTCTGAGGTTTCTGTCCCTGGCTGTGTTCTCTCTATTTTCACATGGTTTTTCTTCTCTGCTCTCTCCCTCCCTCCCTCCCTATTTCCCTTCTTCTCTTCCTCCCCATGTCCCCCCCTTCCCTCTTTTCTTTCTTTTTTGAGACAGGGTCTCACTGCATAGGCCGGGCTGGCCTTGGACTCTTGACAATCCTGCCTCAGCCTCCCAAGTGTTGAGAGCACAGGCACGCACCACCACATCTGGCTTGGTTTTTTCTCTGTTTCTGTGACTGTGTCCTATCTCCCTTTTCCCATGAGGACTCCAGTTTCAATGGATTAGAACCTGCCCTGTAAGCTCATTTTAACTTAATACCTCTTTACAGACTCTCTGTCCAAATAGTCCCATTCAGAAATAGTAGGGGGGCTGGGGATTTAGCTCAGCAGCAAAAGCGCCTGCCTGGCATGCGCAAGGTCGTGAGTTCGGTTCCCGGTACCGGAAAAAAACCAAAAAAAAAAAAAAAAAGAAATAGTAGGAACTCTGGTGGGACATGTAGGTTTTAGGGGGACCCAAAGGTGACCCCATAACAGTAGAGTAGCATTTTAAACCCTCCATCATTGTACATAGAACTTTGAATGTTTTGTACATAGTTATATTGGGAGGGCCCAGGTATGGTAGTTAGAGTTCATTTATTCTGCAGCTTACAGAAAACCTGAAATAACTGTGGCTTTTGAAAAAAGTTAATAGATTTGCAAAATAGTCCAGAGGGTTCTCATATTACTCCCACCATGGGCTCCGTTTACATGTACATACCAGTATCGATAGGTTCCTCCTCAGTGAATGCCATAGCTCATTAAGAGCTTTTTAGCTTTTACTTGATATCCTTTTTCTGTACCAAGATCCCCTCTAGAATGCCACATTTTTTTAGAAGTTCTTAATTTTACTAAGTATGCAACTTGCCGACTTTTTCTTTCACGGTTCATGTTTTGGCCTTGTATTCAAGACCGTTGTTGGTGCTTTTGGTATTGCTGATGTTCAATCCAGAACCTTGTGCTTGCCAGGCTTTGCACTCTCACTGAGCTACATCCCCGGCCTTCACCCTGTGTTTAAAAGTGCATCACCAAATTCAAGGCCACTGAATTCTCTCCTGTGGTACCTTCTGGAAGCTTTATTGTCTTACGTCTTTATTCAACTCTATGATCCATTTTGAATTAATTTTTGTGAAAAGTAGAGGGCTTCTGTCTAAATTCCATGCGCATTGTTTGCATATGAATGTGCAGTTTCCCTAGCATCATTCCTTATAGACAGTCCCTGATCAGTTGATCATCTTGGCTCCTTGGTTAAAGATGAGTTGAATACATTTGTGTGGGTCTATTTCTGGTATTCAATTTTATTGATTTATTTGTCTACACTTTCATCAGAATTGCACTGTTTTTATTTAAAGATATTTCCTGGAAGGTACTTTTGCCATCTATTATATCCAAAATGACCAGAGCATAGGTTCACGTGGCCACACCTACCTGCAGTAGGAGTCGGGTGGTGGACCTTTAAACCTGGAGGTATTGCATCCAGCTAAAGATCAGCATGAGAATCAAGGTCACAGGGTGTCAACATCCTGCTGGCTGTGGTCTGCCCAGCCAGACTGTTAAACTTCAGCCAGGTGTCATTCAATTTACTCACCTTTCTTGAAGTCTAACGTGGGCCAGACATCAAATTGGGAATCAGCTAGTTTCTATGCACTGTCCAGAAATTTGCAGTGTGCTGTGGCAACTCAGCATGTCTTCCGCTTATTGCTTGGTGTGGTTGCAGCATTATCTCTGCCTCTGAGGCTACATCTTTGAAAAGAGTGGATGCCCATATTTTCTATCTTGTCTGGCTATGGTAGAGGAGATGCTGATGCATAGCTGTGGTAGAAGCCAGTTGGCATGAAGTGGGAGAAAAGGGTAATTAGTGCTGAGCCCAACTCTATGACTTCTCTTACCTGGCAGCTATGCCAACCAGCAGAGTGTTTTTGGAGCAAACCATGGAGAAAGATAAAGACACATACCTTGTGTGTCAGTCCAGTGGGTTCTACCCAGGAGCCATTAACATAACATGGGAGAAGTTGCCCCAGAAGTTTCCCCAGTACCAAAGGATTTCCACAGACATCTGCACTGGTCTCATCCTCAAGAATGAGGATGGTACGTATAGCATCACCAGCTACTTGAAACTCAATGCCTCCCTGGAAGACAATGGAACCATCTACTCTTGTGTGGTGTCGCACACATCCTTGCACACCTTCCAGAGGGTGAACTACACACTGCTTGTGACAGGTAAGGGTCCTCTTACACATTTCCTCTTCACCTCAGGTCTTGGGCAGCCTTAGGTCGTTGCAAGTATTTAATAAGGAGAAAGAGTAAGCTGGGCCTAAGGCTATAAGCTAGGGTCTGGCCAAGCTCAGCCTCAGAGGCAGTAGTCTGAAGTCAGTCCCTAGGCCAGCCAGATGGTGTGGTGGTTGGAAAGGAGTGAAAATAGTCATCAGGTAGAAGCAGGGCTACTTGTTGGCTCAGGGCAACTTCAGGGTGCATGTTGGTTCATGTGGCTTGGAGTCCCACCAGGTGCTACGGAAATGGGGACAGTACCCTTCCAGTGTCCCCTGATGATAGGGGCTGTGGGGCCAAGGACCTTCTAGTCAGGTTCCAAGTCCACCGTAAACTATTGTCTGTTAGAAGCCAAATTAGGACTCATTTATAGGTTGTGTCCCAAGACAAGAAGGCCCTGCTATTGTCATCCTACAGATACCCACCACTCTCCACAGACATAGCAGATCCTTAGGATAACACAACTTCCTGCAGAGCTTCCTACTGCTGGGGTGTTTGGGGCCCCAAAACAGATTGTCCTGTTCATGGTTGTGGTCTTGTACAGGGAATGACCCTGTTGGTCAAATGTATGTTCCTGAATTTAGAGAAGTAAGGGGAGTGGTGGTCAACTTGGCACCCTGGGGGATGTGCCAGGTAATGCAGATGGAGCTGTGGATGGTCCTAGAGGAAAAAGGAGTTGTTCTTGAAACAAGGGCTGGTGTATGTGTAGGTGGTGTTGTAGGGCACGTGTGGGTCATGGGGAGTGGGTGTGTCAGTCAGTGTTTTACTAGAGAAACACACAATACAGGATATACAAATGTCTAAGAAATTACAAGATTGGCTCATGAGGGTCACACACAGAGTTGGACGAGGAAAAGCGTAGAGGGTGTCTGCACACTGGGGACTAAAGATTTCAATCCAAGGTCTGGGATTTACTGCAACGTCCTGCGCAAGTCTGTATCAGGAGGCTGATGGGTCTGTGATGGCAGGCTGAAGAGTCAGTGCCAGAATCCAAAGTGTCTGGGCTGGAAGCCAGGAAATGATGTCCAAGGCAAAGGTGAAGACTGGAGCTCCTCTGCAGAACAGAAGCAGAAGTACTCTTCCTCAATCCCCCTTTATACTATCCAGTCAAGGAGCTACCCCTAGGGTGAGTCCTCTACCCTGGGGTGTATAATTGCCCTAGGGTGGGTCTTCTATACCGCAGGGTATAGAATTTGCTGAGTCAATTTAGCTAAGCTTCTCTTACCTAAACTTTACAAGTTGACACAATCAATCAATCATTACAGTGAGAAATTGAAATATGCTTTGTGTGCCTGGTAGGAGGGTTTTGAGTGGTATAAGAGGTAAGAGATAGTGTGGCTGGGAAGCTGGGAGGATGTGCGTGGCATGAATCTGTGGTGTTCTGTGTTTAATACTGCACTGCTTTTCAGACAAATGCTCAGTCCTCTGATGGTGAGATGTGTGTGATAGGAATAGTGATACTGAAACCTGTGGCTTCAGGTTGGTGGTTGGATCTCTTGACAGGAAAATGACATAAAGCTCACAGGTGCTAGCAGGTGTTGTTTTGTGTAGGGTGTCTTAGGTCCTTGCCAGTGGTTTCTCCTTACTGTTTTTCTTTTTTTCTGCAGAGGCTAAGAAGATAGATCGCTCCCGGATCTTTATTGTTCCTTCTATTGGACTGATTTTAATAGTGATTTTCTGTTATTGTGTTTGTACAAGGTAAGGGGCTCTGTCTTAGTTAATTTTCTTTTTGCTGAGATGAAAAACCTGATACCCAAAGTTAAAGGGGGAACAATTTATTTAGCTCACGGTTTGTCAAGGTTTCAGTTCATAATTGGCTGGCTCCAAGGCAGGGTGGCTTGGCAGAGCAGAACAATTCATGGCAGGCAGAATGCAGCAGAAACAATGAGGGACCTTAGCAGCTTTTTTTTTTCTTTGCCCCTTTTATACTCTATCTAGGCTACTGGGATTAGGGCAGTGCCAAATCAATCAGTGAATTGATTTAGTAATCACACACCCTTAATCCCAGCATTGTATCATGAATGAATCACACACTCTAGATCTAGCCACCTCTGAAAAAGTACCACCTATAGTCTCATGAAAATTTGGGGGTACATTTAAACAAAGTGCCCTTGGCCCCCCAAAACTGATACACATCCCTTTATGCAAAAAGCATTTAGTCCGTCTGCAAGAGTTGCTGAAAAGTCCAAGTCCAAAGTCCCCTCTGAGATTTAAGGCAAACTCTTAGCTTCAAGCCCCTGTACAAACGAAAAGGAAGTTAAACACTTCCAAATTCAATGGCACAAAATAGACATTTCCCTTTCAGAAGGTATAAATAGGGGGAGAGAAAGGAATGGGACCAATGCAAGTCCAAAATGCAGAAAAGCAAACATTAAGTCCTGTAGTTCCACATGTAGCCTCCAAAGTAATCTGTGGCAAGATGTGAACTGAAAGGGCTTGGGTAGCTTTGCCCGTACAGTCCTTCCCAAGGTTATAGTTCCTATAGCTTCTTTCTGGGGTCGACTCAACTCTGCTCCTTCCTTGCACTTTTCCTCAGATGATCCATGTTCCTCTCTTCTCCAGATTTCTGTGGTCTCTACTATACCTTTAGCTTCACACACTGCCCTCTCAAGGCCCCACTGCCTGGCCTCCCAGGCCTTCTTCATTCTGTTGGGCTCTTTGCTCTTGATTCACAACATAAAGAAGCCCCCAACAGAAGCCATGCCCTGGCCTCAATATTAGGCTGCCTTGAAATTTCTTTTGTCAGGTCAATTAGTTCACCATCCTTAATCTCAGTCTCAGTCTCAGGCAAAGTCTCTGGACCAGAGCGAAATGCAGACAAACTTTCTGCCAAGTCATAGCACACATTGACTGGAGTCTAACAGCTAATGCAATCCTTCCCAACAGAAATCTCCCGAGCCCAGACTTTACCATTTCTATTTGCCTTCTGGTCTTTGAGCTCTGACCAGAATATTCCAAGTACAGCCTAAGACATTCCAGCTTTACTCTCTCTGCTGGCAGCTCCAAACCTTCCCAAACTCTTCCCATAAGCCATTCCCAAGGGTTGTGTACCACATGGTCAGATATAATCACAGCAATGAATCTGGTACCAGATTCTGTCTTAGTTACTTTTCTCATTGCTCAGAAAATAGCTGACACCCAAAATTAAAGGGGGAAAGGTTTATTTAGCTCACAGTCTGTTGAGGTTTCAGTCCATAATTGGCTGGCTCTAAGGCAGGGTGGCTCAGCAGAGCAGAACAGTTCATGGAGAGCAGAATGTAGCAACAAGAGACCTTAGCAGCTTTTCTTCCCCCTGTCTCTTATATACTCTATGTAGGCTACTGGAATTAGGGCAGTGCCAAATCAGTCAGTGGACTGATTTAGTAATTGCACCTCCTTAATCCCAGTATTGTACCATGAATCAATCCACACTCTAGATCCAGCCACCTCTGGACAAGCCTCACCTATTGACTGCATGAGGCTTTGTGGGGACATTTAGACACAAGTCATAACAGGCTCTGAATGAGGTGTAGTCCTTTATTTTGGACTTGGCTCCAAGACGTCAGGATCTTGGTCAGTGGGCGGGGTCAGGGAGTTCTGTAGGTTGGTGTTGGTGTGTTGTAAGGCTTTGGTGTAGCTCCTTCTGATGTTGTGTTGGAGAAGACCTTTGCCATGGGATCACCACGTGTTCCCATGGAGAGGCACTGTGAAGCCCCTCTGGCGCCATACAGTATAAGTGACACTGTGGATTGAACCGGACCATGTGGCTCAGACCAGGGCTTTGAACTACATACACATGGACTACATTGTTCTCAGGTACACAGAGACCACAGCTGAAGCATGGGAATTCCCTCCCATCATAACTCATGTTTCCGGGAAACTTCAGTGGGATAACTCACCACCAGCTTTCATTGTTTGGCCAAGACTTTCTAATCCTCCCTAGCCATTTCCACATTAAGTCCTTCATTGTGGCCCAAATACAGAGTGTCACAGCATTAGCTTTAGAGACCAGAAACAGTTGGGTGAATGTGTTAGTTAAAATGGTTCTAGGTGATACAGTTCTCAGTTATTTATAGACCTGCCAAGGTGAAATTTGTGCAGGAGCTAATACTTCTCAGTATAAATGGAAAGTGGGAAAATGAGTTAGTGCAGAAAAAAGCATTTCATTTCACATTAGTTAACTGATTCATGGAGCTTATTCTGTTGTTTGGAGCTAAGCCAATGAGAAAACGATATAGAATGGTTTTCACATGTTTCTTGTGAGATTCATGACTCTTGTCTGATTCTTGTCTTTCTGTGGTTCTCATATCCAGGTGCTCTTCCTATAAACAAATACCGAAGAATGACATTGAAACAGTGTTGGGAGTGGACATGGAAGCTACTCTTGAGGCCAAAAGACCCTCTGAGATAGGCCACCCTGGGACTCAGAGGAGCCAGCGGGAGTCAGTGCCTCTATGGAACAAAGATCCCAAGCGTCGAGCAGTCTCCCAAATTCAGCGGGTTATGGAGCATTTGTCACATTCACAGCAAGACAGAGGGGAGCTCACCCATGGCGTAAACTGGAAGCTGGATGCAGCACGGATGGTGCAGAATCTTTGTTCTACCCAGCCACCATGCCAAGAGAACACAGGCATCCTCATGGGTAGGACTGGAACTCTCCAGGATCTGGAGGCCGAGCACTGGAACTCACCATGACCCAGGGACCAGTACAGCTGGGAAACCAAGAGGTGCATTCTGGACAGGCAGAGTGACAGTCACAGATAGTTGGAGAGCCCGAGCAACAGCTCTGCAAAGAGCAGTACCTGGGACAGAGGCAAAAGCATCCAGCCAGGAGGCTGAGCCAAAGAACAGCTGGAGGCTTCACTGTTCATGCCATGGGGACTTTAGAACAAGTAACATGTGCTAATCTTAAGGTTTACAAACATAATTTTATGATAAAAATATATTCTTGAAAGGGTTTACAAGATGAGATTTTTGACATGCTGGCCATGCCAGCACACTGCTTGGTTACCATGCAAGTTTCCACACAGGCACACAACTCATATGGTTATCACAAGCTAGTTTAGACTCAGGAAGTAAGTTTATTTATTTATTTTTTTGTCTTTTTGAGACAGGGTCTCATTACGCAGTTTAGGCTGGCCTTGAACTCACTTATGTTGCACCGGCTAGCCTTGAACTTGCAACAGTCCTCCTGCCTCAGCCTCCCAAGTGCTGGGATTACAGGCATGCGCCACCACGCCCAGCTAGAAAGTAAGTTAGAACCAGACAGAAGCATAGATGCCTTCTATCCTGCTCACATCAAGAAGGAGCCAAAGTCCTGAACCCCCAGTTTGCACAGATGACTCCAGTCCTTCACACACGTCTCTATGTCCACATCTGTTGCGACATAGCTTTACAGTGCCCTCCAGCCCACTCCCTGGTTGTTGGGCTCAAAATGTCCCTTGCTTTAGTCAACACAAGAAAGTGACTACAGGCCAGTTGCCAGCGTGGGCCTGAAGAGGCCTTTCGTGTCTTCTTTTTCTGTCTTTGGTGCCTCTGACACGAGAAGGACAAAATCCAGGCTGACCTGTGGAGGAGGAGCCATACAGGACGCAGAACCCTGCCATCCTAGGTGCAGTGACAGCTACTTTTCCACATCTGACTGGATGGGTGTCCGCTATAAGTCAGTCTTATAAATTCTTATGTATTGTGTGTCTTTCATTAAATCTGTTCCTCTCATACGCACTAGCTGTTTCACTCCACTTTGTCCTGTATGATGAGGTTTTCCTCTTCCATCCTCCATCTGTCGTCCTCTGCCTTCACAAATGGTTCGCATTATGGTCTGAGGCTTTCTCCTCCTCCTCCTCCTCTCCCCTTTCTCCTTCACAGGAATTGCCCCAAACAGTTCTTGTGAACTTCTGAATCCCTTTGGAATCCGCTTCTCAGAAGATCCAAAGGGACCCACAAAGGGACTGAGCAGTGTGCTGAGGGACATGGTGCTTTTGTGGCTTCATCCAGGGTGACAGTGGCTGAGAACAGCAGAGTAGCAACAGACAGCAGAGAATGAGGATCCAAATAGATGGCTTTTCCTGATGACCGAGACCATTGCCCAAGCACAGACTGTTCAGGCTGCCCTCTAAGGAGCGGGAACTTCGCAGTGATTTTCATTTCTCTTCCAAGATGGGTTGGGAAAAGAAGACATAGTTGGAATTGAGCCAAAGAAAGTTTCATTTTGTTTACTTCCCTCTGGGTTACCCTGAAGTTAACCTTTACCTTCCCCAATTACAGTGGTATTATTTCAAGAGTCATAGAGAATGAAGTGAAAAACGTGGCTACACAAAATCTGCTTTGCCTCCGCTGAAGTGTTGATAGTCTGGGCAGGAGGAGTTTGGGACATACTTGCGTTGCAAAGAATCAGATCACTTGCTGAGAAGGAGGTTTGGGATTAGCGGAAAAGTTTCCCTGGGCTGTGAACTGGGGAAAGCTCTGGGTGGTGCTGACTGTACCGTTCTCCTGGGTGCGCTGCTTCCCAGCTAAGGTCATGCATCACAGGGTTGCTTCGCAGTGGGCCTGCGTCCTGGTCATGATCCTGTCCTCCCCTTTGTTTCACCGAATAGCCTTCTTGAACTTCTAACTCCGTTTTGAAAACTGCTTCCCAGAAGACCCAAAGGGACCCAAGGAGAGCCAGTGGTGTACACGAGGGACATGGTGCTTTTGTGGCTTTGTCCACATGGACAGTGATTTCACAGAGGCAGCAGAGACCCTTCTGGAGAATGAGGATCCAACTGGATGGCTCTTCCTGAGAACCAGAACTACCCGCTTCAGCACAGACTATCTGTGCTGCCTTCCTGAGGAGTTGGAACTATGCAACCATTTCCATTCCACTTCCAGGACGGGTGGGGAAGAGGCACGGCTGGCACTGATGAAAGTGTTGTGTTGTGTTTACTTCTCTCTTGCTGGAGTTACCCTTCGTCCTTCCCCAGCAACACTGATACTTTTTCAAATGAAATAGAGGATAAAGAGAGGCAGGGCTACACAAAGTGTGCTTTGCTTCAGTGAGGCTGTTGAGGGCTTGGTGAGGAGGAGCTCGGGACATACTCAGGCTGCGAAGCCTGAGATCTCCTGTCGGAGAGGTGCAGCACTAGTGGAAAGGGTTGACTTGAGCAGTGACAGAGGAAAGCTGTTAGTTGGTGCTGAGCTGTGCTGCCCCCCTCTACCCTGCTCTGTTTCCCAGTGAAGGGAATAAGTCATGCAATCAGACCTGCACTTTCTATCATGAGTTCCATTCTTGAACATCAAAGCCGGAAGACATGGCGATCTGGGAAAGGTGGGAGTTCATGCGTGGGAACCCAGGGAACTCCAAAGCTGGGCCTGCCCTGAGCAGAATTAAATGAAGTGTAGGAAGCACCCATCTCCCTTCCCGTGAGGATCTCGAAAGCCCCAAATGGCTGGGCCTGCCAGAGAAGCTACAATAATCTCGACCCCAGCACAGTAATCCAGCAAACCCCACTTCTGGTTCCAGCCTGTCTTTAACCTCACTGTTCTTCCTTTCCCCACCTCCTTCCAACCCAGAGAGCATATGTGGTTTTCAGGGCTGCCCCAGTCTGGGGACAGCATGACTTTGCTGTACAGAATTCCTGTCTTCTTTCTCCAAGCCGTCTATATGTCTTGGCCCAACCTAAACTGTCTGATGTGTGGGCCTGGGAAACCTAGAGACCTCAGGCATCCTCATAGCTGTGAGGAGCCAGGATCCTCCTCTCCTGGGACAGCAGGCTCCCAGGGAGAGCTGTCTCCAGGAAAAGATTTTGGGGAGGAGCTCAAGTGAAGGGCAGAGCTGGAAGGGTGTGAGCTGCAGGGAGATCTGGGTGAGCAGCAGAAAGGCCTGAGGTGTGTGTGAGAGCCTGAGAGGGGCTGAAGATGCCAGTGCAGATGCATCTGGTCTGTGCAGGTTTCCAGTACGGCTAAAGGGGCTCATTTTCCCAAACTAGCAAACAATTTCCCTACAAGAAAAGGTAGCCTGGCTTCACGTGGGACAGGCCCAGGACTCTTCTCACTATTTAATGTGAGTTAGTGACTGAGATTGGAAGATGTGCCCTCCGCCCCAGATTACACCATCAGTCACTGAAAATCGAGGGCCCTGATCCTCATGAGAAGGGGGAAGATGGAGGGTTCATCATGCACCTGGGCCAGAGAAAGTGCCAGGAAGGTCCCTCTGCCTCAGTGGTATTTTCTACGTAATCTTTAAGTCATTTAACACAGGCTGCTGTCAGACCCGAGTCTAGAAGTTCAGGGAAACACTGGGGCTTCCTGAGTCACACTTTTGCTCTTGTTTGTTGGGGACAAGCAGGATGTGGTCCATCCAGCCCTTCGACCTTGGCACTTTACGGCTTTTGCTGAGCTGAGCCTTAAGGCTGGGGGTCTCCCCCTTAGAGAGAGTGGAAATTTCAGGTCCTGCAGCCCACATTTCCTAGGATCATGTAGTTCTTCGCTTTGGCAGGCAGGTGGCGCTGAAACCTCAGTTCCACAGGCTTCAGCCTGTCACATGCCACCCAAAGTCCCTCAGGGTTGGAGAGAACTTATTCTGGATGGGACTCCAAAGATGTTGATGCGGGAGAGCCCTTATCAGCGACTCTGGCTCTCTGTGTGGCTTTCGGGACAGTCAAGCTTAGTCCAACAAGCCAGGCGCCAGGAGCCCTGGGCAGACTTTCAATAGCTCTTCAACTCTCCTCCCTGGACACCAGAATTGAGTCAGCTGTAGGAGGGGAATCAATGTTGGAGACTGTGGGCCGGCAGGGGGCAGCCTGGAGCTCAGACCAGCAGCAACAGCTTCCTGACCCCTTGGCTTTTTCTCTGGAGCAGGCTGAGACAGACTCACTGATTGGCCAAAGCACACTGCAGGCTTCCCTGCAGTCATCTTCTCTTGGGGTCCTGTTATTATCCACCCATCCTCTATCCCTCCATCACCTGTTCACTCTGCACCTACTGTCCCAGGTTCGGTGCTTGGTCAGACGCAGTCCTAAACCCCAGGGAGCCATGAACCTGAGAATAGGAAGACGGACCCTTTGACACAGGTAGAGGAGAACCCCAGCAGCTCAGAGGGGGAAGGGACCATCTCTCCCCAGAGACAACAGGGAGGGCTTCCAGGAGGCATGATTTAGCCTCGACTTTTATAGACATCAGCAGATATGGGGCCTGGACTGTCCAGGCAGCAGGAATAACAGGCAAAGGCTCACAAGTGGGAAGCTCAATATTGTGTGTGAAGAGAGGGTGCTGAGGATTTAGGAAGTGGGCAGTGAATGCATACAGAGCCGGGAGAGCACACAGGAGCTTCAGGCTAGGATGGCAGGCAGTGCCCAAAGGGGCTGCCTAACAAGTCTAACTTGGACCCAGCAGGTGTGGGGACACTGAAGGGTGTGCATGGAAGGAAAGGGTCCCAGCCCTTCTTAGTCCGCTCTGCTGTCTTCGTGGCAGATGGGCTGCAGGGCTCAGGTGGAGACAAGGACCCAGGTGACAGGTGTCCACTTCCCAGCCCCTGTGATCACAGTCTGAGCTGGGAGGGACAGAGTGAGTGGAAAGTCAGACCAGGCAGAGCAAAGCATGTGCAGGGGAAGTAGGAAAGCACCTTCTCTGCTGACGTTTGCTTGGTCTGCTCTCTCACCCCGTGGATGATTCCATGGCAGTCAGGGCCGCTCACTTTGATGGAGCGCTTCTGGACGGGGCACTTCAGCATTTGACATGTGCTTTTCACTCCTACAGTGTCCTCTGAGGCAGGCACTGTTAGCATAGATGAGGCAACTGGGGCACAGAGAGGGTCTTTGACCAAAGTCCAGCTAGAGGTGGGATTGGAACCCAGGCAGGTTGTGGGAGAGCTCACCCTCCACTCAGGACCCTTTTGTCTATGGTGACCCTGCCCCTCTCTTTCCATGGGGACTTCAGCCTTCAAGCAAGGCCCTGAGAGGGAGGCAGGGTGCATGCTGCTGAGCCTTGTGGGTGCCCAAAGGCGAGATGATCAGACAGGTTGGCAGGGACCGGACATGCTGAGTCTGAGGGGAAAGGCCCCTGTAGCTGGGAGCTGGCATCGCTTTCCTCGCCTCCCTGCTGGGGCCATGGCACGTCTTGAACGTGGAGTGGCAGGTGCCGGCCTCTGCCCTCCCCTTCCCCCAACACGCTCCAGGCCTCCCAGCAAGAACAGCCCAGAGATGACGTTGTGGAGGGGCAGGCTTTATTGACAATGGGGAAGGCAGGATTCTGAACAAGGGCACAGCACCACTCTTGAGAGTCCTGGCTTGGGTCAACCCAGGGACTTCTTCATCTCTGGGACCCACCCACCCCAACATCCTCAACTTTCCAATACTCCTTTTTCAGCAACCAAAAGGGGTCTCCCCACCTCCACCCCCGCCTCCCTCCAGACAGACAACGCAAGTCACAGCTATATCACTGGCCAGCCAGGAGAGAAGTTCACTGTGAAGTCCAGTATATGAGCCCTCACCTCAGTCTCTGTGTACTCAGCCTGTCAGGGTCTTCCCAGTCCACTCCAGCCTCTCAGGGAGGGGACTGAATGGGACCAGCAGGCCCTGCCCATGGAGCCCTCTCTGCAGAAGCCTGGTGTTCGGGGTGAACAGTGGAGAGCCGGGTCCATCTCTTCTTCTCAGAGCCTTGGCTGTGATCACCAAGCCTCCTTGTGTCACGCACCCCCCCCCGACCCCACCGTGCTGTATCCCTTCTGGCCTTGCCTGCCCACAGACGGGAGCCCTGCCAGCCTCAGCCTGTCTCTGTGTGCGTGGCAGCTACAAGCCTCTGTCTCCCCCTCCCTGACTGCTCAGGCCCACCCCTTAGCCCATCACTTCTTCAGAGACCAAGGAAGCCTGGAGCCTGGTTGCAGCTATTTCTCAAGGGCACAGAAACAGAGCAATAGGTCCCCAACTGGGGGGTTGTTTCTCCGCAGCCACTTTCTGCTTGTAGCAGGCCAATCATGGGGGGCAGGACTAGCTGGAGACCCAGCTTTAGGGCCTGACAGTTCCCACAGCCCGCCCCCTCCAGGCTTGGGCAGGGAGAGAAAGGTAAGTCAGTCCTGAGCTGGGGCTGGGAGGAGCAGGGACAAAAATAACCTGGTATAGACTCCTGCTGAGGCCAGAAATAGCGTAGTGACAAGTGCCTTGTAACACCCTGGTCACGCAGCAGGGGGTGGCTGAGCTGAGGAGAGTCCAGCCTCACTCCAGGCTCCTGCTCAGCCCGCAGGGCCCACATCTCACCCGCTCTACATACCACAACACACTGCCCGAGTGCACACATTCATGGTGGGCTCCCACAGACCATGACTCAGGACAGGGAATCCGGAGAGATGCTGAACTTGGGTTTGGCCCTGGCCATGGGCACACTGCGCTTGCGCAGAGGCCCACGGGTCGAGGCGAGAGTCAAGGCATCGAGCAGGCTGTGGTCCTCATCGAGCTGGTGGGCTGTGCAGAGTGGTGTGGGCACTTTAATGGTGTTGCCAAACTTGGAATAGTCCACAGAGTAGCGGCCATCCTCCTCCGCCACGATGGGGACAAAGCGATGGCCCCACAGGATCTCGTCAGCCAGGTAGGAGGTGCGGGCCTGGGTGGTAATGCCCGTGGTTTCCACCACACCTTCCAGGATGACGATGATCTCGAGGTCCTGGTGGTGGTGCAGGTCGCTGGGTCCCAGGTCGTACAGCGGGCTGTTGGCATCGATCACGTGGTAGATGATCAGTGGGGCCACCAAGAAGATACTGTTGCCACCCACACCATTCTCCATGGGGATGTCCACCTGGTGGAGGGGCACCACCTCGCCCTCAGGGCTCGTGGTCTTTCGGACCACTTGCATGTGGATGGTGGCACTGATGATCATGCTTTTCCGGAGGTCACCCACGCGCAGCATGAAGCAGAGGCGGCCGTGGCGCAGAGCGATGACCGCGTGCTTGCTGAAGATGAGGGTCTCCGCGCGCCGGTGCGCCTGCGCAGTCTTCATGAAGATGCAGCCCAGCATGATGGCATTGATCATGAGCCCCACGATATTCTGCACAATGAGGATCAAGATGGCCAGTGGACACTCCTCTGTCACCATGCGGCCACCAAAACCAATGGTTACCTGGACCTCGATGGAGAAAAGGAACGCGGATGAAAAGGAGTGGATGCTGGTAACGCAGGGCACCGTGGTGCCCTCTCCGGGGGCCAGGTCACCGTGGGCAAAGGCGATGAGCCACCAGACCATGGCAAAGAGCAGCCAGCTGCACAAGAAAGACATGGTGAAGATAAGTAGCGTGTGCGGCCACTTGAGGTCCACCAGCGTGGTGAACACGTCCTGCAGGAAGCGGCCCTGCTCCCGGATGTTCTTGTGGGCCACGTTGCAGTTGCCTTTCTTGGACACAAAGCGCGCCCTCCGCTCTCGGGCGCGGTACCGGGGCTCCGTGGGGTCCTCTGCCAGACGAGTCAGCACATACTCCTCCGGGATGATGCCCTTGCGGGACAGCATGGCTTCAGGGACTCCAGGGAGGGGTTTCCGTCATGGAGGGGGGCACCGCCCTGACCTGGCCTAGGGTCTCACTGTGGAGTCCCCTCCCTGCACACGCTCACCCTGGGGCCGCGCTCCGCCTGCGCTGGCCTCACACCTGAGATGCTGCCTCTACTAGACTTGCCCACCTCCACCTGGGTCCTGCTTCACTTCCTCACACCAGCCTCACACTTCAGCCCGCCTGCCCGTCATCGTCTCACGCGCCCCACTACCTGCTCCATCTCCACCTGTCCCTGGATCGCAGCCCCGCTCTCCTCCTCCGGCTGCCCACCCCTAGGCTTCCCCGTGCGACCCCTCCTCCCTGCCCAGCCCTTACACAACTCAAACTTAACACCTCCGGATCTTACCAACTAACCAGACCGCGCACAACCCCCTCTGCTCTCCGCCTCACCCATTTCTGTCCCCAGATCCCCCGCAGCCCCAGCCTCGTGTCCTGGCCCCTCTCCAAGCTCCCCTCCAGGTTTGCCCCCTATTTTCCTCCCCTGGCGCCTCCCGCCGCCTCTCTCCGGATGCCTCTCCAGCTCGTGTCCTCTCTGTCTCCTTGGGATCCTGCGCCCTCCGAGAGGGCGCACCCGGCTCAACTCCGGATCCCCTCGCCCCCCGCGCGACCTGGCCCGCTCGCTCCGCGCCGCGGCCTCCCGGTGCCCGCCCGCGCCCGCCGCCGCCGCCCCGTCCTCGCCCCGCCCGCTCGTCGCCGCGGCACCTGCTCCTGCTCCTCAAGCCGCAGCCGTCGCCTCCCCGCCCCCTCCCTCGGTCCGGAGCTCGCGGCGGGCGCGCTTCCCGGGCGGGCAGTCAGTCTGTGGGTCGGCGGACAGAGACCTGTGCAGGCGGGGGCAGAAGATCAAGGTTGGGGGCGCGCGAGGAACCGAGTGGGGACGCGGCGCCGCCAGGGGGAGCCCGACCCGTTCGCGAGCGGAGAGGGGCGGGCACCGGCGCAGGCCCCGCCCCCTCCCCGGACTCAGTCCGGCCTTGGGGATGTGCGTCCTCCCGCCCACATCTGTGAAACTGGTGGGCGAGAAGGGAGCTGTGACCCGTCCTCCCAGGCTGGGACAGCAGCCGCAGTCGCCCTGGTTCCCCTTCTCTGCTGTTCCCATGCACAGCTGGACTCCCAGGGACAGGAGACACGGCGAGGTGGCGCCACAAGCCCGGTGGCCCCTGAACTTTGCAACTGACTCCTCTTTCTTTTGGCAGATACGCTTACTCTTGAATCCTCTGAGGATCTGATAAAGAAATCTCTCCCCAATAAAATAAAACAAACAGCCAAAAAACTACTCTAGCAAGTGTAGGAGCACAGCGACACCTTCCCCCGGGCTTGCCCGCTTCGTGACCTGGGGGCGGGTCACAGTCCAACCCTGCTTTGTATTATAGACAGTTGAACCTCCGGTGCTTGCTTTACAAAGCCCCTCAAGGCTGTGGCCTGAATTCTTCCAACTTAGTAGTGTTCAGCCCAGTAGCTGTTTTAAACCCAGCTTGGACCCTGCGGCACCCCGGCTCTTGGGCAGGACAAAGGTGATGTTTCTGTCGCAGGCATCAGCCTCAGTTCACCCCGCATGCTGCTGGAACAGAGGATATGCGACTGTCTGTTGGAGTCGGGCGTCAGGCAGGGTCTGGAAGGATAGGGACCTTAGGGTTGCAGGCTGCAGTGGGGCGTGTGTGACTTTTATGCTGTTTTCCTCTTTTTCTCTGTAGGCTGAATAAACCCTGCTGCTAAGGGTGCGATCCTGGGCTGTATTCCCAGAGGAGTGGTACTAGGGCAGGGCTGGAAAACAAGATGAGCAGAACAGGAAGCTCAAGGAGGCAGCATTACTTCTGAGGCAATTGCTGTACATAGCTTTTTAGCCATCAGAAAGGGAAACTTGGTGGGGTGGAGTCAGGTTGGGCACCTTCACAGAAACCCATCGGGATATTATGGAGGGATATGGCCAGGTGGCCTTGGGCATCCTTATAAGACTTCCCTGCCTTGTGCTGTTTCTTTTCTTCAATGCTTGGGGTGAGGTGGGCGTGGGTGGGCAGAATCCTGTTACAATTCAAGGCTCTGCTCCTGGGAGACCCCACTGTGGAGGGAGCTGTGGGTCCTGGAGGCATCCTGGAGCCGGAAAGGCCAGAACCTGCCTCACAATATGGCCCCAAGGCTCAGTTCCACCCTCCAGCTCCACCCTTTCTGCCTAAGTTGCTCTTCTGCTCTGCTCCCTCTGCCCCGCTCACACACCTCTCCCCAGGCACTGCCCTTGTCCGTGCTTTTCTTGCTCAAAACACTTTATGCTTCCCTTTTGCCTGCAGACCTATCCTGTGCTTCTTGTCTTGGCATCCAAGGTTCTCTGATCTCATTTCCTTCCTGGCGTCCTCAACCCCATCCCTCCCTGTCTCCCTGACCAGCCAACACGTCTAATTCGCCTCCAGCCTCACTCCTCAGCTCCTGCTGCCCACCCTTGCCCTCCTCTCGAGCCTTCTGCCTAACCAGTTTTTACCCCTCCAAGCTGAACTCAAATCTGGCCTTTTCCAGGCAGCCAGCCAGGCTTCGCAGAGTTCTCCCTTCCTGAGCTCTCTGGCTTCTGACACAGCCAGAAGGGTCTCCTCCATGACTGCTGGGTCTTCCTTATGTTGTGTGGCTTGGACCCTCTTTGAGGCAAGAGGAATGCAGGCCTAAGACCCCGAGGTCTGCAGCCCAGGGCCTGGAAAGCCAGTACTGCAGGGAAGAGGTAAAGGATAATGAGATGCAAATGAGCACCTGTCATTACTTGGCTGGGAGCAGGGGATGCTCCTGTTCGCTGATTCACACGGAGTCAGGACAAGCTATTGTTTTGATCTCCCCCAAGTCTGTGCTCAGTGTCTCCCCACCACCACCTGGCTGACTTGTACCTGCACTGTTCTTCCCTTGAAAGTGGTATAGGCAGCTGAGTTAGACAAATATAGGCAGTCAGACAGGGCCAGGCCCTCGAAGGAACCAATATGGAAGACAAGACACCTTGCAAATGGAGACATATTTACTGCAGGCCAGATCTCAAGACAAAAGACTAAACAAATGTACCCACAAACCTGCCTAGAGATGGACATCAGGGATTGATATTCTAAATAGGTAGCAATCACCTTGAAGAGTCACTGACCCAACCCCTTACAGGAAAAGTCCCTGTTCTGTATTCATGCTGCTTCCTACGTGATGCGCTTCCCCATTTGATCCCAATTTAATCAATTTTGTCTAAACAAGTCTTATCAGATGACTGTAGTTTTGTCCCTCCTCATGCCCACCTTGAGATTTCCCATTTTTCCCCCTACTTTGACCCTCATGGTTTTGCTCTATAAAAGTCCCTAGAAAAGACAGTCTTGGGCAACCCACTTGGACTCCCTTCTGTCCCTCTCTCGGACAGGAGCTTTCTTTCCCTCAATAAATATGTTCTGCTCTTAACCTCCGTTGTTTCTAAAATTCATTCTTCGATTTTAGAGACAATGTCATCCCAGACATTGTTCAGGTTGGGAATTTCTTTCCCCCTGAATCAAAAGGACTGCCTTTCTCCCACTCCTGAATGCCCCTGCTTGGGGACAGAGAGGGCACATGGCATCCAGGCCTAGTCAGTGTATCCCAGCCCCCTGGGCACTGTGATTGGGTGCGGACAGGGATGTGACCACATTAGTCCATTAACATTCACTTCTAAAATTTTGTTGGAACCACTGGGAAACAGCACTTTTTCCCTTCGGTTGTCCTGGGGCAGGATGTGAGCTGGAGCTAAAGTGGCTGTCTGTCATCAAGGAGGCAGAGACAGAAGTCGCCAGTGACTGAAATAATACACCTCCCTGTCTTTCCTATCACGCAGCACCATGAGTTCAGTTGAGTCGGGTTCCTGTCATTCACAATAGTTATAAGGCTGATCCAGGCCACCAGGCCTCACGATTTCAGTTCAAGAATGACAATGAGAAGAGAAGGGACTAAGTTGGGTGGCTATCTGCTGCCTTACCACAGAAATGCTGTCACCCTTGCTATAGCTTGAATTATAGCCCCCAATTTCATAGGTTGAAGACCTCGACTACTTAGAGCAGGGCCCGTGAGGAGGTAATTAAAGCTCCATGAGGTCACAGGGTGGGGTCCTAAGTCAATATGCCCGGTGTCCTTAATGAGGAGGCAGAAGGGAGAAGAGAGAGGAAGCCAGAGGGGAGAAAGGAGGGACAGGGAAGAGGGACGCAGGGAGAGAATATGAATGAGTATCAGAATGCAGAGGAAAGGTCACAGAGACAACGGAGAAGGTAGCTCAGGAAAAACCAAATTGGGCAACACCCTGACCTCAGACTTCAGCCTCCAGGAGTGTGAGAAGTAAGGCTCTGCTGTAAAAGCCACCCGGTCTGTGGTACTCTGTGGTGACTGCCTGAGCTGACACAGCCTTCGTTTCACAGATCAGGAAAGGTGCTTTTGCCCGTGTTCAGTGGCATCTTCCCAGGGCTGGCTCCCTGCGCCCACAGGCCGCCGCAGCCCCAGTGACAAAGCCAGGGCCTCCCGTAGGAAATAATCAATCTCTTTATTTACAGGTGATTTACAGTTAGAAAAACCAGGCGAGGCGGAGGCAGGGTGAGGGTACAAGATGGCACTTGGGCGCTGGCAGGTCACTTGTCTGCTCGGACAAAGGAGGCGAAGACGCTGTCCTTCCGGCTGAGCAGGTTCTCTGGCTTGTCGAACTCCAGGATGGCGCCCCGCTTCAGAACCATCACCAGGTCTGCGCTGAGGATGGTGTGCACGCGATGCTGGGGGCAGGAGGGACAGGGCAGCTGAGGGCTGACGCCCTGCCCGGGGTGGCTGACAGCCAAGGCCTCCATCCACTGAGACCACCCTCTGCCTCCACCAGGTCTCAGCTCGCCCACTGCCAGACTTCAAGACTCAAAAGACCGCTGTCCCTGAGCCCCATCCTCCACTTCCTGTGGAGAAGTAACCCCAGCCTAGCTCACAGGGCCTTGGGACGGGCTGACCTTGGTACTGGAGGAGAAGAGGGCGGTCTGACAGTCCTGCCCTGGACCTGCCCTGCAGACTCCTTCCCAGAGGTCCTCTCTCGATGACAGCCCCAGGCCCCCTCTCTGGGTGATCCCTGCCCCCCATCAGTGCACCACTTACTGCAATGGTGACGACAGTGCGGTCTGCGAAGGCTGTCATCACCACCTTCTGGAGGATGTTTTCCTGTCAGGTGGAGGCAGCAGCTGTGGGCTCACTCACCTAGTGGATGGGGGCTGGCCTGGCTCTGGGACTGGGGTGGGGGTGCCCAGGATGGTGGCCCAGCTCCCATCTGACTCCAATCCTAGCCCCACCCCCACTTCCTTCTGGCCCTGCTCCCGGAGGGCCTGTAAGGAGCATTCTGGGGCTGGACCCTGCCTGCCAGGGGCACAGCTCTGCGTATGCGCATGTGCTGGGTCTGCATGGTGGACGGAGTAAAGTCTGCGTGTGAATACTTCCTATAGCTGGATGGAGTCACGGTCCCCCAGCCCAGCCCTGATACTACGGCAACCTCAGGACCACTTTGTGCGAACTATTCCCTAACGTCCCACTATAACCACTCAGCGGAGATGCCCAGGACCAACCGTAGCCATGTCGATGGAAGCCGTGGCCTCGTCCATGATGAAGATGCTGGTCTTCCTCACAAAGGCCCGCGCCAGGCAGAACAGCTGCCTCTGGCCCTGGCTGAAGTTCTCCCCA